TGTTCATGGAGATGAGGTAAGTTTTTGGGAAAGCACCCTGTTGAGCTCTGTGCAGCCATGCATTGCAGCAGGGCTGCACCTCTCCCACACTGCAGCAATCTGCGTTGGAGGGCACAGACACATCAGGAACAGTATTGGGAAAAAAAAAATGAAATGTGTATTTCTTCTTTCTCAGAGTTGGCCAAAGGAGCACTTCAGAGGTGAGCAGGTCGGTGGACTTCACAGAATAGGGTACCATCCAATGAAAAGGAAGGAAATACAAACAGGCCCAGAATTGGTCTGGTGGTTGGGCAACCCTGCCCATGGCAGAGGGGTTGAAACGAGATGATCTTTGAGGTCCTTTTCAACCCAGGCCATTCTATGATTCTATGATGATCAAATGGAGAAGCACTGCTGGTGAGTAGTGTGCAATATCGGTGGTAGGAGTAGGACAGTGTGGCTCAGCAGCATGGCTAGCTCTTTGCCATCCCCTTTCTCTGTGCAGAAAACAAGTCTCTTCCAGCGAGGTTTAAAATATGCTGAATTTAAGTTTAGAAGCATCACAGGATGCGTCCAAAGTAAATAAAGCCTCACAGAGGGTGTTCAATTAAAAAGACACAGATGAAATAAATTTGGCCAAGCATGAAGCCATGGAAGTTCCTGCCCTACATGGCCTCCCAGTGGCACTGCCACTGAAGCCCCAGGTACCCATTGGTGACCTGATGCTCACAGCCTCCTGCAGCGTGCAGAAATACCTGCACTAAATATCCAACCAGCTTAGAGCAAAAACTTTCAGGGTCCTGAAGATCTCTGGGCAGCCTGGCCTGGTGGTTGGTGACCCTGCACACAGCAGGGGGTTGAAATTGGATGATCATTGTGGTCCTTTTCAACCCAGGCCATTCTACGATATGACTCTATGATCTCCTCAGCTCTGGGCTGCAATAGCCACTTGTTGCCTGCTGGATTGCAGCAGACACCATGGAGGGATAATGGTTCGCTGCCGCTTACAGTGCATGCATTTTATTTCTTTTTTGTGACTTCCTTCTGTTTAGCGCTCACATGGAGCCCATTAAATGACACAAATGGTGGATTTGGGTGTTTTGCTGTTGTTGCTTTTTTTGTTTCGTTTCGTTGTATGCATAAAAGAATCATAACAGTCCTTAAAAGCTGTTATTCCCCATGCTGGGAAAACACTCTTTAGCCACCTGCTGTAAAAAGTGTGTTCCAAATGGAGCATTTTTGTTACAAATAGTAACCCTTGGTGCTCAGTAGGTGTTGGCAGCTATCTGCTGTGCCTGCCTGTGCTCATGACCACACACCGTGGTGCTCTGCAGGCTCCATGCACTGGATTTTGCCACCGGGGCGCAGAGCAGCAGGAGATGTCAGCTCTGTGAGTGCCATGCAGGTGTCAGGGCACCTTTCCCTGTATGCTGCCTGGCTGAGCACACGATGCTGCTGACTCTTATTTATCCCTAGTGCCTATCTGAGTACATGACAGCCACTGCCCTGGCCGTTGGGAGCCAGCTGTCCGGGTGTTTTGCATCAGCCAGATATGGGGATGCGAAGCCGCATGCATGTATTTTCTGCTTCACCTGGTCTCCTATCTGTAGCCCAACGGGGGACTGTAAGCCTTTGGAAGACTCAGCCCCAGCAGCATCGTTTGGGAGCGGGCAGGAGTTGAGTGCTCCGAGCGCAGAGTACTCCGCGGTCACCTGGGGATGAGGATCAGCCTTTCCTGATGGGCTGTGGGACCAGCGACCTCTGCTGCTGCAACACGTGAGTCGTAGAACATTGCAGAGAAGCAGGGCAAGCAAGCGAATTGCTTGGTATGCAGAGCTGCTGACTTTTGGAGTTTACTATCTGGGGTATTTATTTATTCAAGCGCCCTATGCACCTCATTTACAACACTGTGGCCGGCAAGATTTTATCTGATGTGTGTTCAGACGAGCAGAATAGAATGATCAACTCCAGACATGCAATTTTTTTCCGTCTTTATTATCCCACCAATAAGGGAAAAAACAATCTAAAGACAAGAATTAAAGTTCAATATACGGCTGAAGTGGATGGGAGATGGCAGGGTTACTCCAGCACGTGTCCCTGCCCAGAAGCCCATGCCGTGGGAGCAGGGTTGGTGTGTGCTGGCCACAGGGCATCACTTCTTTTGGCCCCACTGTGTCACACTGCACCCTGCTCTCCTTGCAGACATTTGTCAGCACGTTATGATTCTCAGCAATTATTCATTTTTATAGGAAGGAGAATTTGTGGAGGAAAAAAAGGTCAAGGAAGATTAATAAGGAACAAAATGTCTAATAACTACACAATATTAGATGAAAATAGGAGAATGATTACTGCACACGCTGTGCTGCTTCATCTTATTATCCCACTTTAGTGGAATCCATAATTTACAACTTTAATAAACTCCCAACCTCTTTGGGCCAAGATATACATTGCTGTTATTTTTATTAGCTACATAATAATAAGAAGCAATCTGCAACATAATTGCCCTGCATAAGCAAACTTCTAATCACTTTTAAGAATATTTTTATGGCGACTAACAGGGACAAAACCAGACAAAGTGCAGCCCCGAGACTGCGTGTTTTCACCTCCAGGTTTCCAGCATCACACATTCTGCTAACGAGTAGAGGTCACAATTACCTTGGGATAGCTAACGGCGAAACTGGGGGATCAGTGCACCAAAGTTCAAATATTCAAAACTACAAATATTCAAATATTTGTATTAACCCCTCACCGGTTTTAAAAGTCCTGAAGAATTTAAGTGGGAAAAAAAAGAGATATGGTGTGATCAGAGGGTGGTGAGGCACTGGAACGGGTTGCCCAAGGAGGCTGTGGATGCCCCATCCCTGCAGGCATTCAAGGCCAGGCTGGATGTGGCTCTGGGCAGCCTGGGCTGCTGGTTGGTGACCTGCACACAGCAGGGGGTTGGAACTGGATGAGCACTGTGCTCCTGTGCAACCCAGGCCATTCTGTGATTCTGTGATTCCTGAATACCAGGCTCAAACTGGGCTTGGAACACCACAAGCAGCATTTTCCGACTGTAATTCAGAGCATGATTTAAACATTCACAGAAATTCAGAGAGAATTAAACCTTTGTCGTACACTTCCATAGGATATCTGCAGAGAATCCCAACACTGACAGGATTTCATTACCATGCTCTGATTTGCAGGGTAATTACATGGAACATAATAACACCTGTAACGGGCATTAAAACTCTATAAATAAGCTTTTCCTCTGGAGTTACTCCCCCCTCTCAAGTTAATGATTCCAGTCAATCTTTCTTATTTTATGAAGCAGTTTTTCAGCTGGTCTGAGGCCCCCAGCTTCTGCCTGAAGCTCAGCTGCAACAAAACAAAACATGGTCAGTTTTTGCCACAATCAAACCACCTGGGTAACTTTCCCAGGGCAGGCATCCCACTGCCTTATTTGTGCCTCCATTCAGCTGGTCTATTAATTAATATTAATATTATAAGATTTTTTGCTTGTGTTTCAGCTAACTCGAAACACTGGGAATCGAAAACTCGAATCACTGTTTTGTGAGGGTAGATTGTAGCCATAACCCATCAGCAATTCTATAACGTTATGTATTCAGCCTTCTTGGATGTCCATCATCTGGGAGGCTTTTGCTTGTAGTCCTTGGCTGTTTCAGTATGATCCAACCACTTACACTCCTCCTTCATTTTCTTATTACATTACCTGTGTCTCACTACTCTGAATACATGAACTGCTTTTCCCTTGTATACACAGCAAACCTGAACAGTATATCTTTCAAGGCCTTTCTGGCCTAGTTGCATCCTTCTCCTCTCGTTTCTGTCACAGCACGAGGCCATAGCACCTGCACTCATCCAGTCAATGGTGCTGACTTTGGCTGCTGCTGCTGAATGTCCTTGAACTAGCTCTGTTCCCTGCTGCAAAATCACCTTGCTGCCCTCTGTACTTCCCCTTTCTATCTCATCTCCTGGGATACCAATAAATAACCCCCTTTTTTCTTTTTTTTTCTTTTTTCTTCCAATATCACTTCATTATTTTCTTTGTGCCTCTATAACTCTTAGGGTATGTGTTCTGGGTGCCAGCAGTCACTGATGTGTACAGGCAAAGCCCTCTTTTTCAGCCAGGCACAACACAAACTGGACTACTACTGCTTCTGCTGCTACTTCTCACCTTAGAGAACTCCCTTTTCATGTGATAGATAGGAGAGAATGAAATAGGGGAACTTAGCAAATAGGAAACATCAAATCACATATAGTGGCAATACTAAGTCACTATCTGAAGCAGTGAAGGAGCACCTGGTGGGAAGGCAGAGCCAATCCAGGGGAGCTCAGGTGCATGCAGTGGAATGCAATGCACCTGAGTGACTGGAAGGGCTGCAGCCAGAATCCACCCCTTTTTAGATCTCATTTTAAGCTTGGCAGTGGATGCAAGGGCATCTCTTGTTGGAGCTCCCTGCCTACTTCTGGCCTTTCAAAGGTAAGTAGCTTTTTTTCTTTTATTTCTGCATCTGTGGCTTCTGCATTTGGGCTCATTCTCATTTGCTGTAGCCAAACATTTTTGCCACCCTGCTGTTATCATCCCACTATAGCATTACATTACAACACACCCAAACACATCAATTCCCCCAATGACCATGCACAGAACTTTGTTTGAGCTTTTGTAAGTTCTGTAGATGCTCTTAAGTTGTCTTCTGCAGGCCCTGGCCAGCACACAGCCCTCCATTCTCCTTCAGTGCCTATGGGAGGAAGAGGGTGGAACTGGGAATTAGCTACACCTAGAGCACCAAGCAGGCAAAAGGCAGTCAAGAGCTGGAGGAATAGGTTATACTTTGATTAAGTGCTCTTTCTCTCCTTGTTTCTTGTCCTCTGTGTGTCACACAGCTTATTAACTCCTGATTATTTCCTCAAGGTGCAGAAACTTATGTCATTAGTTAATGTAGGAGTATCTGGCAGTTGTCTCTGATTTCACACAGCACATTCATTTCTTAACATCCCTTTTCCTCTCCCCCAGCTCTGGCATTTGCTGCACAAGAGGGATGAAGTGAAGGAGCAAAAGCCCAAAGGGCCTCTGGTGAGCATTGATGCCAGGCCAGCAGTGCAGGGGATGAAGCTGGAACCAGGGCACTTGGGGCCAAAGCCAATGGACATCTTTCCTGGAGGCACAAGGAAGGAGAAACAATAGGACTTTTATCTTAACTGCAAAGCTTCAGCAGGTGAGGGGGGGGGAAACAAAAATAAAAGCACCCTATGTGGTAGATAGCAGTCATTTCACTTAGTGCTGCCCCTTGAAATGCATTTAGCAGCACTGAATAGAACAGCGTTGAGAAGGTTATGCATAATATGCATAGATCAATTTCCATGCATTGTTTAACTTACTAAATCTAATTCTCTTTTCCACCCACTACTCAATTTAATTTCCATGCATATAATGGATGGAATACAACACTCCCATGCCAGAGGCTAGCAGAAAGTCCAGGTAGAGGTCAGGTGAATGTCTGGAAACAAAACAAATTACAGGGAATGCTGATTGCTTTATTACAGCTTGTATCATCTTGTTTATAGAAGAAATAACTTCTCAAGTGATTGTTAATGATTTTTAAATGTTTTCACACTGTTGAGGTAACAGAATTGCTGTCATGATGAAAGAGAAACATAACACAACCTCTGCGTGTCCTTGTAAAATTTCAGTGGTTTCTTGGTGACAACCACAGTAATTAAAGCTGGAAAAAAGAACAGTATGTAAACCATTTGCACTGAGTCATAGCATGCAAATATTTTCCTTTTCAATTTGAGCTAGCATGAGTTTGGGCTCTGCCAGAAAGCTGCTTTGTGTGCTTTTGTCATGGGTGGTGATTGCTTGGTTTTGTGCAATGCAAGAGGGAAAACAATGCAATTTGGGGTTTTTCTTTTGAGGAGTTGCTCAAAATCTACTGGGGGAAAAAAAAAAATCTAGGAAGACATGTTCACTTTTTCAAGAATAAAGATTTACGTTTCCCAGTTCAGAAGTCAACTGTCATGTTTTTCCCCCCTTTGTACTCTCAGGAAAGTGGAAGAGCAGTGGAAACTCCTCATGTACACACTGGCACAGGTTGCCCAAGGAGGCTGTGGATGCCCCATCCCTGCAGGCATTCAAGGCCAGGCTGGATGTGGCTCTGGGCAGCCTGGGCTGCTGGTTGGTGACTCTGCACACAGCAGGGGGTTGGAACTGGATGAGCACTGTGCTCCTTTGCAACCCAGGCCATTCTGTGGTTCTGTGTAAAAAAAACTTTACAGTGGTAACATGCAGTACACCACTGGACTCGGAAGCCTCCAGGTGTGAGTGGGTTTCCATCACGCACTGACTGCAAAACAAGGGTTGGATGCATTAGATTTATCTCTATCTTATCTGTGAACTGAGAGATGTTTTAAGCTCTGTTAGTAATCTCAAAGTCTTTCATCAGCCATGTGGGTAAATAATTGCCTGCCCATGGGTTTCTCTAGGCTCAAGATGGTGTGATGCTGAGGGTAATCACAGCAAGGGCATTTTATAACCTGAATTCAGTTTGGCAGGTTCCCTGGCATGAGCATGTACCAAGTTTTCCTTCACCTGCAGGCCAGCTTGGTCCTGTAGGACATCAAAACTCATCAGGACCTGCCTCGTCAGCAGGGAAATCAGCCCATGAACTTGTAAAGCAAAGACATGCTGAGATGGAGCTCCCTCCTGCAATAAGCCTGCGTTGTTCACTGTGGGGCTGTGCTGCTACAGGGGAATGCATCATCCCAGTAGCTCCTCTCTGAGATATGATGGCCATACATTAGCACAAGAGCGTCGTATATTACCTGAGAGAGCTGTAGCTCTCACACCACGTTACGCCAATCCATCACTGAAGCAAGCTGTTGCTTTAATGATGTATTAGTGTAATAATCTGAGCAGGGCATACCAATGATATATTACTCAAAAGATGGCACCATTTTATGGAAGCTAGGTTCCAGGAAGATATTCAGTGTAATTATAGGCTGCTGGCTGACTTCTAGTGGCAAGAAAGTCAGCCAACGCACCCAGGATACAGTGGGAACTGCTTTCCCAGTTGGGGTTGGAATCACCAGTATAGAAATGGGCTTTCTGTTCATCTGGTGGTGAATGTTCTCTTCTCTTAGCTGCAGTGAGTCGTTTTAAATCTGTGCTGGTCACTTGGTGGAAAGGTCTAGATAGCAGTTACCCTAGGAATCCCTCTTAGTACAGAGCAGCTTCTTTCTAGGCCCAGGTTTCTGTTTCTGCTGTTCTCTATGAATAGTTCTTCCATTTTGTGATTTGCATTAGGACAAGGGTAACTATTTCTTGTAACTCACCCTTAGAAGTAATCTACATTTATCTTTGGTTTTGTGTCGTGCTGTGAGACTTTGGTGCACTGATGGTGAGACGTCACTTGGCTCAGTAAATATGGGAAGAGGTTAATTTTGCCCTCTTGACTATTTGATTGGTAAGAATGCATTTTATCACCAGAAGAAAACTGCTTGCCAAATATTACACGTTTATAACAGTCACTGTACTTTTGCAGTATACAGTTGGCACTGTTAGATCCCAGCTTTCCAAATCCCTGCTCATCTTGGCTTTTTACAGGAGCAAATTTAATCGTTCCTCAGGAGAACAAAATTAAAGCATTCGAATAGAGGGAAAACAAACAAACAAACAACCATAGGTTGTAGAAAATGATCAGGTGAACAATACTTCTTGTTGCCTCTGACTTCTGTGAGGCAGTGAGCTGCGTTTCTGACCTGGATGTGATCTTACAGGGGTTGGCACACCGCAGCACCAGGAGGAGAATAGAGCTGAGCATCGCCTTTCAAACGAAGGGCGATAGAATAATGGAACAGCCTGGGGGAGGCTTTAGCTCCTTTGATACTGATCTTATTTTTTATTTTTCCCCCCCAAATGGATGCATGAACTTATGTTTAACGTTATAATACCTATAATAATAATTAAATTGCCAGTGCTTCTCTCCAAGGTCTCGAAGTGACTTCACAGACAATTAGTCCCGCGAGGCTCTAAGTATTAACGCCGTCCTTTGTGCGGATGAGATCTGAAGGAAAAAGAGCCTAATTGGCTGAACAAAACCCATTAAAGTAAATGGGATGTAGGACCTGTGACTTTGAGTCTGCTGGCAGTGACTCAGAGCAGCAGCGTGCTGACATCCCCAGCCCTTCTCCATCCATCTTTCTCTCAGGCTCTGGTGCTACAAATATCTGGTATAGAAGAGGAGGGACAGGAGTCACTCTGTCACTGTAGAAGGAGAAGGAAAAGCCTTTGAAGAGGTGAGGAAGTGGGCTTTGTGGGATGTCAGGACCATAGTGCAGCTGATGTAAAAGCATTTTTCTCTGAAGTAACGTGCCTGGCTCTTTCTGTAAGATACACTTCAGAGAACAATTGATCTTGTTTCTTAGCAGTTACACCATATACAGAGAAGTACAGCCTAAAGTAAATAAATCTATATGGTATATAGCCAGGATCATCTTTTCCAAAGCAAAATCGTAGACTTGCTGAACCACAAACATGATCTTAAGGTGATTTTTACAAGAAGCAATGGCCTAAAACTTGACCATAGGAAGTTCCATGCAAACGTGTGGAAGAACTTCTTTATGGTAAGGGTGATGGATCACTGGTAAAGGTTGCCCAGAGAGGTGGTGGAGTCTCCTTCTATGGAGATATTGAAGACCTGTCTGGTTGCCTACCTGTGTGATCTATTGTAGGGATCTGCTTTAGCATGAGGTTTGGACTGGATGGACTCTTGAGGTTCCTTCCAACCCCTGCAACTCCGTGATTTTCAATTGCTGGAATCTTTGCAGGAATTGCACATACAAAATGCATTATATTAACTTACTTTGCCCTGGGGGACCGTAATTTTTTATTCATCCTTAACGTTATTTGCTTGCAATTTGTATTTTTATCACATTGGAAAGTGTAATAGAGAGCCTAAAAACATTCTAAATCCCCAGCAACTCCAATCAGCCCCTAGCTCGCTTTCAGCTGTGCACAGCTTCAAACCATCCAACAGCTGCCTGACTTCTGAAACGCTGCTGAGTTTCAGGTGCCTGGTTATCCCTTCCCTGTGCTTTGGCTGGCAAGTTATAGCTGTTCATAATGTGCAATACCAAAAATCTCCTTTCACTGAGGTTTTTCTTAGTGTCAAATACCTTTGCACAGGAGCAAACTGGGTTTTGCAAGGCAACAAATCCCTCTTAGTAATGTGTTGGAGACAGGGCAGCTGGTAGTAGAAGGTTATGAACCTGGAAGTGCTAACATTGCTCTATGTGTCAATGAAGTTGGATGCTTTTTAAATGTGGATTTGTTTATGTAACAGCTTGAAAATGAAGACTTAAAGGTGAGCAGTTAAAAGTACAAACGCTGTTAAGCAAATCTGTCGGTAAGAGGACCGGCATAAAACTTGATACTGCATACTGAAAGCAGGTAAGCTAGGGCTCCAACCAACATTCAGAGTCATTTGAGAGCAATTGGTTGGTGCTAAAGTGAATGTATCTTTCAAAGAAACACAAACAGCCAGCAGAGAATGAAGCTGTCTTACAGCTCCAGCTGCCCCCAAAGGAAGCCAGGAGCCTGCAAGGCTCCCCTCAGTGCCCTTCCATTGGATCTTAGAATCGTTAAAGCTGGAAGTGTCTGCTAGGATCCCCAGCCCACCCCACCATGCCCACTGCCCGCATCCCTCAGTGCCACATCCCCACGGCTCTGCAACACCTCCAGGGATGGTGACCCCACCAGTCCCTGGGCAGCTGTGCCAATGCTCAACTGCTCTTTTGGAGAAGATCAGCAGGAAAAGGACAAGGAGCCAAAGATGCTCCTCCCAGTCGCTCCCAAGAAGAAGTTTCCCATTATTTTGCTGAGCTTTGGGAGGAAATCAGAACAGGGATGGCTGAGCAGCTCCCCTCCCCACCCATCTCACTGGCTCCTGGCTGGCAACGCGCCCCGTGTTCTCTTTGATGGATGGCCTTCCCAGCCTGGGAAATAAATGGGCTTTGTCCACAGTCCAGCACAGCGAGTCTCAGCCCATTTGAGAATAAATCACAACGCATGATGTAAACACTTAGGCTTTCAAAAACAAAACAGGTCCTCTAGGAGACATGTTCTGCAATGTCTTTCCATTAAACATGAGTTTTGCAGTAATTAATAGCCTGCTTAGTAATGGAAGCAAAAAAAATAAAAAGGGTTTCTCAAGGGGTTTCTTTGCTCTCTATTGCAGCAGAACAAGATGCTCACAACTTGCTGCGCCTTGTGCAGTGGAACAGCTGCAGGGCAGCCCATGTTTGACACCGATCTCCTGTTTAGACCAGGTGAGCGATGAAAAGATGTGCCTTGGAAAAGCAGAATGTTGCAACCTGCTTGTTGCCTGTATGACCATAACCATTTCAGTTCTGAAGGGAGCACACACAGGATGTTGTGACACACGTGCACAAATGGTGATGCTCCAATTCCCCACACAGCAGTAGTTCCCCCTGGCAATGCCACCAGTAGAGACCACAGCATTTCAGGGAGGTGGTTGGAGTTGTGACACTTCTGTGTGCTTTTTGTGCTCAGTGTGGACAATGAATACTTTGGTTTCTCCATTCTTGCTGTCTCAACCACAGGAACTGCCTTGCTGCTGAAGTGGGGGGTGCATATCCCTTCCCTTTAGGTGCTAACGTATGGGAGATCTGTAGTAAGGGGCATATATCATAAATAAGCAGTCTCCTTATGTGTCATTAATGATATTCTTTCCATAAAATTCATGAAACAGTAATTCTTCACTTATTTTTCCTCAACCCAGGCAATGTTACGCTGAAGGCAATGAAGGCAAATGTTACGCTTCCAGAATTCAACAGACCAAGGATGCTCCATATCAATAGATCTGAACACCATTAACTCAAAGGGATCTTTCTACATGGGATCGCTAATGAGCTGAAATAAAATAAGAAGTAAAAGTGAAAGATAAAGTGTTTAGTGGACAAAAGAAGATCAATGCTTGAATGCATGTTTCACTTTCTTATAGACAGACTTTCTGAATAGTTAGACTGAAAGAAAACATAATGAAGGAATGTGTGATCTTACCACGCTGTGAGGGCATTAGTGCTGTTTGTGCTGAAGCTTTTGCTGCCCAAACCTTTGGTGTATGCAAAGTCTATTGCTTTGAAATGCAAATAATGGAAAAAAACGCATACAACATTTAAAGACTGCTTACAAGAGTGGATAGTGATAGGATGAGGGGGAATGGTCTTAAACTGAGACAGGGGAGGTTGGGTATTAGGAGGAAGTTTTTCCCCCAGCGGGTGGTGAGGCACTGGCACAGGTTGCCCAAGGAGGCTGTGGATGCCCCATCCCTGCAGGCATTCAAGGCCAGGCTGCATGTGGCTCTGGGCAGCCTGGGCTGCTGGTTGGTGACCTGCACACAGCAGGGGGTTGGAGCTGGATGAGCACTGTGCTCTTTTGCAACCCAGGCCATTCTATGATCCTATGACATTTCTCTTGTGCAATGTGGCTGCAGAAAAGTGTTGCCTGAGCTCTTGTGAGTTGGAGAGTTAACTAAATTAGAATATGTTGTGCAATCTAAATATGGCAGTCTCCAGCAGATTTGTCTTCCTATGAGATACATATTTCAGGTTTAAATTATCTGAATTCTAATTTTAGAGTTAATAGAATTAATTGCCATAGGCCAATTGTCTCAAGCTTGATTGGCTCGAAAAATGTCCATTAGTTAGATAATAATTGTCACAGCAAACGAGCAGAGCTGCGTGAAGTCCAAAGTAATGTTTGGGTGGGCATTCATGGTGTCTGATGGATTTCCTTCTGTTTTGCTATGATCCGAGTAGTTCACCTCCAGTTATTTGCTGTTTCTCACTGTGTGTTTATATGTCAGCTGCTCCCACTTCCTTTTAGTTGAAACAATTAGGGTGGCTGGTAGTGGTATTTGATATGGGATCTATCACACTTCTTTTCTGCTGTGGTTTTGAGGCATGGAGTAGTTTTCAAGGTTGTAATTTCAAGGTATGAGAAATAAATATGGGGGAAAAAAAATAGTAGCATTGATATAGAGTGCCCTGAGATTCAGTGTGGTGGCTTTGCTCCTCTGAAGCTGCTCTGCTGAGAGGGAGGCAGGCTTCCTTCTGCAGGCTGGGTCTTGTGCATGCAATCATAGAATCCTTAGTTGGAAGAGACCTCTGGAGGCCATCCAGTCCAACTCCCCTGCAATGCACAAGGACACCACAGCTCCAGCAGGTTGCCCAGAGTCTGATCCAGCCTGGCCTTGAAGTCTCCACGTATGGGGCATCCACCACATCTCTGGGCAGCCTGTTCCAGTACCTCACCACCTTCACCAGAAAAGACTTTTTCCTTATACCCAACCTAAATCTGCCCTCTTTATGCTTGAAACCATTTCCCCTCGTCCTATCACAGCTGGCCTTGCTGAAGAACCTGCCCCCTTCTTTCCCTTAAGTTCCCCTTCAGATGTTGAAGTCACCTTTCGCTACAGGTGTTGTGACCTTTTAAGCCACCTTACCAAGACAATAAGGGGCAAGTGGTACCCATATACAGCACTAATTATGGAAGTGCAGGTGAGCGGGTGGCCACGAGCGGTTGTCACCCACCACCCCACACACCTGGGAGCAGGCTGGACCTGGCAGTAATGATGCCTTTAGCAAGCCAATTAAGCCGTGCTACTTGATGAGGATGTACTACACAGCTTGCAAACGACACGGGGTCAGCAGTGCTTCTGTCTCTCACGCTTGCTTGTTAGCACACCTCATTTCTCGGGCTTTAAGCCGCCTAATTGGATGTTGCGGCGGCGGGAGGAGGGAGGAAGGTGGGAGTACTGAGGGGAAAAGCAGCTCCTGGAGCTCATCAGCCGCGATGATCGCTAGATGGCATTGCAAGCACACCGTTACCAGCGATGGGCTGGCGGCTGGGGATGGGGATCGAGATGGAACTGGGGTTGGGGCTGGAGATAGGAATGGGGCAGGGCTGGGGTTGGGACTCAATTTAAGGCCTGGATTGACTATAACCACAGAACAGCCAAGGATGCTCCTTGGTCACGCTGTCATCATGCTTTTTATCATGAGATTTTGGTGAAACTCTAAAGGAAGAGAAGAGCAAAAGTTGTAAAACGATACACTTCTCATAACAAAACTACTTTTTCCCATGGGTTCTATATCATGAAGCAGGCAAGGAGTTACATTTGGGTAAGACTGCTGCTTTCTGATACGGAGTTTTTGTGAAACAAGCAGTCAGTGCCACCAAACACATTGGGCACGAGGATTTTTATGCCCTGTGGTGTCAGCTTTACTATGGAAGGCAGAAGGTAATGAGCTCCCTGTAGCAGTGACACAGAACACATTGTGACCTGAGAAGCGGGAGCAGCCCTGAGAGCCCTTTGGGCTGTGCATCAGTGTGGGATCAGCCAGAGAAGGGAAGATAAATAAAGGCAATGTCTGGGGGTGGATTGCTGAACTAATTTCATTGCAGCAGGTCCTTTACTTTGCAAATAGGCTTGGCATAAGCCTATGTACCTATGTAGGTGCTTAAAGTGGGCTATAATGCTAATACAGATGTATGTAAATGGGTTATAACACTCGTATCTCTATACAACATAGACAACCTATAACATAGGTTATAACCCTCCTGCCCCAGGGCATAAGCTATCCACTGCCCTCCATTAGGAAGCAATCTGACCCACACAGCAATTCTTGCATCTCCTCTGAGAAGGCATCTCCCAGAGAAAGCACGTGGGATCAGACAGAGCTGCCAGGGGAATGTGAATATTAGGCACACAAAGGGTACAGTGTATGGTTTAGAAATAGTTCAAACATAAGCATGCTGCTCAAAGTGCAAAGATCTATTGGTACAGGTATGGGAAGCCACCTCAGTTATTTGAATTCCCTACCATGGTCAGGAGCCCATTTACCTTTACCTCTCTATAACTACGATTGCTGCTAAACCCACACCTTATTTCTGTATGTCTCGGGAATGGTGTGAAATTTCTAAAAGATGGATGGATTCTAAAGCGAGAGAATGTTCAGAAATGCAACTGAAAATCGAGTTTTCATCAATTTACATCTTCTGGCAGAGAAGAACAATTGTAGATGATTTCCTTCTCACTGCTTTATCAGTAGGAAAAGCATAACCCAAAAGAATGTTGTTACAGGAGAACAAGAGATGCAGAAGCAAAGTGTTTATAGGATGTCAGGCACGTGGGTTGGCATCGACCAAAGCAGAGTACAAATTCAGCCCGGAGTTTACTACCAGCAGTACGAAATGAAAGCAGTTCCAGCTCTCGCAGCAGGGTGAGCAGACAGCCCCCGTTCATCGGCGTGCCGCAGCTCTGCCTGGTGCTGGTGGGCAACCTGCGGGTGGGCACGGCTCCAATTCGGGATATTCAGCATTAGGAGCTCACGTGCCTTCGTGGCAATCCTAGCAGGGGCACGGCATGGTGCGGAGGGAGGGGTCTCCGGGGGAGAGGACACGCGTGGGGCGGGGGCGGCCTTCCCGCCGCCGGGCTCGGGGCAACGCGGTGCTGGCGGAGGGGCCGCGGGCGCTATTTAAGCGGGCGGGGTGCGGCCGCGCCGTCGGGGCAGGCGGCTCGGTGCCGGGCTGAGCTCGGTGCCGCCGGAGCATGCACGCCTTCGGGCCTCCCGCCGAGCCGCCCCTCGCCCGGGAGCTGCTGGACGCGGCTCTCCGCCCGCCCGCCGGCGGTCCCTACGCGTGGCTCGGCGGCCCCGCCGCCCCCTACCCGCCCGCTGCTCCGTTCCCACCGCCGTGCCCCGAGCGGGGCTGGACGTCGCCGCTCCCGCAGCACGAGGGTCCCCGCCCGGCACGGCCGCCCTACTCGTATTCGGCGCTCATCGCCATGGCCATCCACAGCGCGCCGGGCCGACGGAGGACCCTCAGCCAGATCTACCAATACGTGGCCGAGAATTTCCCTTTCTACAAGAAGAGCAAGGCGGGCTGGCAGAACTCCATCCGACACAACCTGTCCCTCAACGACTGCTTCAGGAAGGTCCCGCGGGACGAGGATGACCCAGGTAAGGCGGAGGGTGGGGACGGGGCGGGCGGAGCGGTGCTGCCCGTGGGTCGGGGCCGGAGCGATGGGCGCCGCACCTTTCCTCTCCCATCTGCAGGTAAAGGCAACTACTGGACGCTGGACCCCAACTGCGAGAAAATGTTCGATAACGGCAACTTCAGGAGGAAGAGGAAGAGGCGTCCGGAGGCCGGAGACGGCGGTGGGGCTGCGGGGAGCCCCCGTGTGAGCACAGCCCCCGGGCACGGCCAGATGCACTGAGGTGGAGGAGGAAGGAGTGTTTTTGCGATGCGTAACTGTACATTTCTGTAGGTCTATAAATAGAGAGATGAGAGAAGGAGTGGGATGTGTGTGTGCTTAGGGTGAAGTGAAGGCGGGAGGGCTGTGGGAAGCGCTCCCTATTGGGACTCAAAAGCATCCAACGCACGAGTCATGGTGGAACGTTCATAGAATGGTTTGAGTCGGAAGGGGCCTCTAAAGGCCGTCTGGTGCCACCCCCTGCGGTGTACAGGGACACCCACAGCTCCATCAGGTGCTCAGAGCCCGGCTCCTGACCTTGGGTGTCTGCAGGGACCGCTGCCACCTCTCTAGGCAGCCCATGCAGTGCTTCACTGCCCTCTCATATCCAGTCTAAACTTCCCATCTTTTAGTTTGAAACCACTTCACCTCGACCTATCGCAACAGATGCTGCTGCTAAAGAGTCTGTCCCCTTCTTTCTTGCAGCCCCCCATTAGATACTGAAAGGATTCACCATGATGTGAGCTGGGTGGGATGGTGGCTTTCCCTCCCCCTTGACAAGAGCAGCCTATCCCAGCCCTGCCCGCTGACCTCCTGTCCCATGGATGCCCAAGGTGCCTTTCTCTCCTCTTTCCAGGTGTGCAGCTGGGATGCCCTCACTGCAAGGCACAGCTCTCAGTTGTGGTTGGGGTGGTGTTGGGCTCACTGAGTGGGGAGGGACAGCGGGACGTGCGCCTGGAGCTGGGCATGGCTTGTGGGGCAGCCAGCCCCACATCCTCTATGGCATTTCTGAATAAAACCCCTTTATTTTCCCAAACACAAAAGATGATCTTTGTGTCAGCCCGTGGAGCTGATGATAATTTATCCAAAGAATTTCAGATTTAATCGAGCATCCAAAATGATGCTGGATCCCTGCTGAGGAGCCCTTTAATTGCTGGGTTTGCTGCTGGCCCCCACGATGAGTGCTTGCAGGGTGCTGACAGCCTGTGGTGCGCGTGTCCCCGTGCAGACCGAGCTGTTTGTTTAAAATGCCTCTGGTTTACCCACTTTGTCACACAGACACGGAGTTTCTGTATCTTTACGAAGCCTCAAAACGATGCGACATCTGCATTTTTATTAAATATCTGAAACAAGAGGGTTTTGGCCACCTGCTCAGGGTGTGCTTCCCCTGCCCAGCTTTCTGTTTGTTCTTTGGGTGTCATGGAGTTTGAAGAAAACCAAACTGAGTTCTATAACCTGTCGCCTTTCCCTTCTGGTTCTGTGTCCTCCATCCCACTCCTTGCTTAGGACAAAAATTTATCTAACAACAGTGTTATTGCTGTGGTTGTTAGGAAAACACCCCTGAAACAGAAAGCTAGGGTGGTATTTTTTCCATTATAAGGGAACTGGCCAAAAGACAGAGTAAGCAAACTGCATGAAGCCATAAACTGTGTTGGAAATGCAAATCCCTGGTAGAGAGCCAGCTGTGTGATCAAAGCTTTTGATGGTCCATTCAGTAGTAAGTAGGATTACAAAACTTCTGGTTTGCAAATATCCAAATTCAGTAGACTGTAAGTAAAGGCAATAGGCAACTGTACTTATCAGTCAAAATCCCATGTGATTTTTATGCATTCAGATTTCCTTTTCTGCTGTTTGTAAAAACAGCAACTCCAGAGTTGCTTTTAAGGTATTCCAGGTATAACCTGCTTGTTTATGTTGTTATTTTCCAGCAAGAAGACATTTAAATTGTACCTCCTATTTCTTTGGAGAATGATACTTGAGACTTGAAGCTCCCATTTTGGCAGGGTAACTTCCAGGTCCTGCATGACAGGGAGCAAGGGATGTTAGTTTGGTGATCAGCTGCATTTCAGGCTCCTTTTTTTCCAGGTGGCTGAGGGTTGTGCTCAGTGGGTCATGCAGAGAGCAAAGAGGAAGGAGCCTTTTGTCTTTGCAATAAAAAAGGATGTTAAAAATTTGTGAATTTCTTGGTGAAAATAAGTATGTGTTTCAGTCTGCTTGGGGCAGAAAAGTGGCAGTGCCCCTAAGTAAAGGCATCAGGTGACAAAGCTCTGCTCAGTCATAGAATCATAGAATGGCATGAGTTGAAAAGGACCACAATGATCATCTGATTCCAACCCCCTGCTGTGTGCAGATCACCAACCAGCAGCCCAGGCTGCCCAGAGCCACATCCAGCCTGGCCTTGAATGCCTGCAGGGATGGGGCATCCACAGCCTCCTTGGGCAACCTGTTCCATGCTCTCAACAGGGCAGCTGTGGGCTGGAGGGAAAAGGGCTGCCAATACAATGATGTGCTGTGGTCAAACTTTGCTTGGACCTGGTGTCCCACAGGTGTGCAACAGCACAGCATCCTGTGAGACGTGTCCTGCTGTGACACACAAAGTGATTTGCTGCTGATTTCATATGGCTCAAGCTTCTGACAGCCTTCTGAGCCTCCCCACACTCCCAAACACACTCTATAGCCAAAGTCACACTCTGCAGTGCCAACCCAACCAGACTGATTTAGCTTGAGAAGACCTGCAGGAGTTCCTCTGCTTTGTGCAAGAGGGACACAACTGCACACACAGCAGGATGGCCCGCACAGAGCAAGACTGAGTGTTTGCAATGCAGTTAAACCAGAGCGTGCTGGAGGCCTGGACTTACACTAATATGCAATGGAAATGTTCGGAACTTACGTACTTGATGGCTTGAAATGATTATTCATCCAGCTTCTGTTACGCTTCCTATCTTCTGCTTTTCACAGAGTAGCACTGGCAACAAATGACAACAGCTTTGGAGCACTATTGAGAGCTGAAACTGAGAGCTTAGGCTTTATCCAGCCAGCTTCAGGCCACCGTTTCTTTACCCTTGGGCAGCACATGGGTCAGTGTAGAAGAAGGGGCTGCTCACAGACAATGGCCATCTTCACAAAGAACAGCCAGGCGTGATCTGCTTCTCATCCCTGGCACTTCTCCCTGATGAGAGGCACTGGGCGAGGCTGGGAGGGCACAGTGACCTCCTTCCCTCTCCCAGGGGTGCAAGCAATTTCAGTTGCTTGCAAGCAGTGCCTGCGGGGCGTCTGCTGAATTAATGGGAGGAAAGGAAAAGCCTGGTGAGCTCCCAACACCAACAGAGCTGGCTCTGCAGCCCATGCTGTCTGAGCAGGGCAGAGCAGGAGCTGGAGAGAGAACTTTCATTTCCTATGAAAATTTCCAAATCGTCAGCTATGGTTGATTTACTGAATTTGATTCCTTTTGTTTTAATATTATTTACATCAACGGCAACAATTCTCTGTTCTTACCAAGAGAAGTCCATAATGAATGCAACCCAAAAGTGGTAAATCAAGTTAATTTCTACTTTTTGTTCCCTTTTCCATCAGGTCTAGCACTTGCATGCATCTCATCGTTACTAACCATTACGATTCCCCTAAGCCTTACTGCATCACAACTTTGCTTCCCAGGACTTTTTGGCAAAACAGGTACTGTCAGGTTCTGTACAGCCGGACTGTTCAGGTGATATCATCACATATCACACTGGATTTTAGTCTGTTCTAAATCCAGGCTCTGCAACTACATGTTTTAAAGTCGCGTTAATTGGGAGCGCAAGTGGGATTTCTGAGTTCTTGAGGAATTCAGGGTTTCTTACCTCGCCTATGATTAAAGACCACTGGGTGGGCTTTCCCTGGGCAACCTGGTCTGGTATTAAATGTGGAGGTTGGTGGCCCTGCATGCAGGAGAGGGGCTGGAGCTTGATGATCCTTGAGATCCCTTCCAACCCAAGCCATTCTATGATAAAGATACTTTCCTCACAAATAGATCTCTACGTTGAATCTGAGTTTAAGTATTCTAGCCACTGTCTTGCCGTCAATCAGACAAGAGCTGAAGGGAAGATGAGACTGGTGTTGGCTTTGGTGGTATGTCCTTAATGGGGATTGCAGTCTCCTTAGTCCTTTCTGCTGCAGTGTGTGAATGTTACAGGAGCATGTAATCTTCACGTGCCCCAGTATTCATCTGCCTAAAAGCATTAATCTGATCTTTTCAGCAGCTCACAGTATCATTTTTCTTTCAAAATGACAATACATGACTAAGCTATTTATCTTTTTTTTTTTTTTAAGGAAAGCACTTCTCTCTCATCCATATACCCAGACAGAAGAAGGGAAGATTTTTCACTTGAGCGTGATTACTGCTGTGCTTGCTGAGTGATTTCATCCTGCTGTCTCTGTCAACATCTTAGTTCGTTTATGAATGTCAGATTTTGACAGAACTGGTACATTTTGTTTTATTTTCATTGAGATCTTAACTTGCACAGTGCTGCTGCTCAGGCAGGGTCCAAACACATGTTAAGCTCAGGCGTTTTCCAGTGTTTTGCTAAGATTAACACATTAATTTTTCTTCAGCCTCATAAAAGCCAATGCAGATGTATCAGCTGTTGAGTAGTTGGTTGGTAGTATCATAGAATCATTGAATGGCCTGGGTTGCAAAGGAGCACAGTGCTCATCCATTTCCAACCCCCTGCTGTGTGCAGGTCACCAACCAGCAGCCCAGGCTGCCCAGAGCCACATCCAGCCTGGCCTTGAATGCCTGCAGGGATGGGGCATCCACAGCCTCCTTGGGCAACCTGTTCCTATAGGAACATAGGGAATAGGTTGCCCCAGGACAACCTATATTGGAATGGCAGGATCAAAGAAAGGCTTGGGTTGGAAGGGATGTTAAAAGCCACTCAGTACCACCCATGGGCATCTCCCACCACTCCACATGCACACTGTGCCAGTGCCATCCTCATAGCGAACAGTTTCTTCCTTATACCTGATCTGAAGCTCCCCATTTTCAGTTGTATTTTAGCTGTGAGTTTTACAATAAGCATAGTCCTTTACTGTTCGCTCGGATGTGGTTTTTCCCTTGAAGTGTTTTCCGAAAGATCAATAAATTTTATCAGAGATTTCATGAAATGTCCTATAACTCTACTCTGGAGCTTCTCGTTTGCATAAAGACAATTTTCCTTAAGCCTGAATATAACTAATGGCTATTTAAAAGTTCTTTATGGTGCCCAGGTGTGTAGGTGAGCATTACCACAGCTCAGCCAATGGCTGGGCTGCCCAAGCTGCGTTAACCCA